GAGAAAAGCGTGCGTGCCACGCAACGTGCAGCGTGCCACGAGCTGCCTGCGGTGCAGGGGGATCATGTCCCAGTGCAATCCCTTATCCCATGGGATATTGAAAGAGCTTGGCAAACTTGCAGAGTTGAAACAAAGGGGTCTGATTCTTGACCGTCACTTCGAGACAATCAAAGCACACGTGAAGGCGGGCAACTCCGTTGCGAAGGAGCGATGGGACGCCATCCAGAGCGCGTGGGGGCTGAAGCAGAACGGTGTCTTCGACAAAGAGGAGTGGGTCGCGCAGATTGACGGCGAAACGCAGGGTATTACCAGCAGCACCCGCCTGTCCGCTTCATCCCAACGAGATGCCGGCAGCGCGCGAGGTGCTGCAACGCCGTCTCAGCACCCACCTTCTGCCGCAGGTACCGCGAGGAGAACGGCCGTGGATCGCGGGAAGCAAGCTAGGGAGAGAGCTGCCAAAGGCACTTGAGGCGGCACCATCTGCAACGCGTTCCCGATTGGCAGCCGAGGACCGGTGAGCACACAGTTACTTTTCGCCACCGGTGTAGTCTGCAGTGGGTGGCCCGATATAGTGCCGGTTGAATAGTGCCGGTTGCCGGTGTAGTGCCGGTGTTTTCGGCTCGCACACACCGGAATATCAAGTCTTTCTGTACTCTGAATAGTGCCGGTGCCCGGTATAGTGCCGCTTTGCTCTCTGAACACATACCGGCACTATAGAGGCCCCCCTACTGTACACTGTTGTCAAGAAAAACTCCCGTGAAAACGATGACATGATGAGGGCCATTATTTTTCAATAGCGGCGCGTAATAAAAAAAAAAAGAGAGTTCGTAGTTTTGGGGCTGGCCTCTGCTGGCAACGTTTCGCACGCCGATTCTTGCTGTAGGTGCCCAAGCAAGTGGAGGAGTGTCGAGTTCTCGTCAACTGCGTCTGCTGGCAAGAGCCAACTCCGGTGCAAATACTCCGGAAAGATGTGCCTTTTTCAGATTCGTGGAATGCTGCTGCTGTGTAGACATGATAAAATAAATATTTCGTCCATCCCCCTTTTTTTCAAGCAAGACCAGAACATAAAAAGAAAATAGTGTAGACAGATATTCTAGTTTGGATGCCGGCGACTTTATTTTGGCGTCACAACAGTGCACGTTCTCTGCTTGATACTTGGATTGAATAGTCACGAACGCAACAGACAGCTTTCGGCTCTCCACGGAGGTTTGAGGTCGAAAGCGCCACACTCCAAAGCGAACGATACATGACGTTACTCGATCACCCCCCGGGCAACTCCGCCCTGCTTCCACCTTGCCATGCAGATTGAGCGGACTCGCGGTGGAGTGAAAGAGCCATATCCGGTATTTGCTTCCCACCTCCGACCCCGGAGTCCCGCCGATCTTGCCCTCACTGTCCCATGACCTTCGTGAACGAGCAAGGCCTGGAGATCCACGTGAGAACGCAGCACAGCAGTGCAAAGATGTCCAACGGCGTGCGGCTGCGGCGCATGTTACGGAAGGATGTCGGAGGGAGTGTCCTGCCGTGGGACGCTCATGGAGGGCGTTGACTCCAGCGATGAAGACGACGGCGGAAAGGTTGTTTTGCACAAAACCAACTCTCCATCTTTTTTTGTTGATGACGATGTCCTTCATGTTGACTTTAGCTTGTTTCCGCGCACGGCTACACTCAAATTATTCTAAGTTCAGGTTGAGTTTGGAATCGTGACACCCTAACTTCTTGTGTTTCCCGTTGCCTCGTTCGCAGACATCTCTCAACCCCAGACCGACGAGCTAGCTCTTCTGGACGACGACGACAGCATGGACCCACAAGACCCGGAGGATGAGATACAGGGAATGGAGATCCCGGCAGGCTTTCATATTCAAGAAGCTAAACCCGTTGTTCTTGAAAGATTGCTTTTGCGGCGTGGAGTGCTCGTTAGGCTGGGCATGGGGTGGTTTGGAGGGCTGATCACTCAACAATCTCAGAAGGATATTCGCCACCTGTACGACTACTGTGTGCAACTGGAGCTACACCAGAGTACGCGCAAGATGAAGTTGCCCTTAGACAAGTACAGTGGAGATTCGGATGCGGCTGTAGGCTCCTGGGTTTTGCTTGAGAGCATTAGTAGATCAGGAAGGGTACGCAGGACCAACGTCACCCTTGTGGACCAAGAAGGTTGACAGTTGCTGCTCTATGCCTTGGCATTTTCTTTTATCGACAGCAATACTAGTGTTGCTCATGGTTGACAGCCGACAATATAGCAAATGATGATCAAATACTGTAAGAACAAGAACGCCCCTTTCTGGAAAAATGGACGACGAAATAAGAACTTGGCAAATAAGAACTGGTGCTCGGGTTGGGGTAGCCAATAAGAACTGAGCCTCGCCCAATGTAGGAGGTTCTTACGTGCGGGCCGGCACTGTATACCACACCCCTCCCTCCCCCCCAGAGTACACCCCCCTCCCCCGCGGTGTTTGCCATCGGGGTTGGGTTTTCGTCGCTTGGCAACGACGTTGTAAAACAAGCCG